TGGCTTTCAAAGTGCTGATCCTGCAGCCAGGAAGGAGAATTGGGAGCAATGAATGTCTCATGGCAGGGGGCTTAGGGGATGGAGCCTCCCCAAAGGCGTCAGGACAAGGTCTGTCCCACTCACCCCAGCAGAGAGCAGCTGGAGACAGCCCCAACCTGTGGGAACTCAAAATGTCCCTCAGACATTTTTGGATGTTCCGGGCCCAGGTCAGAAGCATTTGAGACCCTGGCAGGCAGCTGGAAACAGCTGTGATTTTGGGTTTGAGCCATGGAATGATTTACCAACCTTGCAGGAAGAACAAGAAGTCACAAAAGTTTAGATATTATAATAGAAGTAGTCACAAAGTAAAGGGAAGAATTTTTGAGTGCTGTACAGGGGGGTTTTGGTTTTGTACATGGGGGTCAGAGGTTTAAGATGGAGGGATTTGGGCCTGCCCTGTCCTCCCCCTTTCTCCTTCCTTACCTCCATGTTCTTGGTGATGTTGGCACTCACAGATTGGTTTAGAGTAGAAAGGCACCATTTAATATAGGTAATAGGCACTGGGGAAAAACTGTACCCATGTAACACGTAATGTACCATATAAAAGATAGAAAAGCACCATTTAATATAGGTAATGGGCATTGGGGAAAAACTGTACCCATGTAACACGTAATGTGCCATATAAAAGATAGAAAAGCACCATTTAATATAGGTAATGGGCATTGGGGAAAAACTGTAAACATGTAACACGTAATGTACCATATAAAAGACAGCACAGCCCTGGGCGGGGAGAGAAGAAGCAGTCGGGAGTCAGAGAGGGTGTCAGGGTGTGTGTGTGCCTCTGCCTGAGCTGTGAGCAAACCACAGCAGCCCCAGAAGAAAATCTTTTAAATAACTTGCAACAAACTACCTTGAGACCGAATAACAGAGACTGCTGAGCCTTTCTTTGGAAGCTCGGGGTGGAGGAGAGACTTTTCCACCACACGGAGCCACCCCCGACTGAGGGCAGGAGGCAGCTTGGGCAAGTCTGAGGCCATCAGTGTAGTCCATGGGAATATGAAAGGTGGGTAAATCTTCTTCTACCAGCAGTTCTGTAAGCCACATTCTTACTTTATGTCTTGTCTGTGCCTTTGCAGTTTATGATGCTGCTGTACAGGCACTTGTTCCAGGGAAACAACTCGACTGGTATGGTAGTTTTGTTGTCATCAGCAGAATAACTTGGGACAGGCATTGAAGAAAATGTTTTCAGTTGTCCATAATCTCTGAACTTCTCAACATTTGCTGAGTAAATACCAGGTAAATCCCTCCCAGCAATGCATTCACTTAGTGTAGGATTTTTAGATTGCCTTTGCCACCGTTATATCCAGATATTTTCTGGTAAGACATTCATCTACATGACCAGCATTTCAGGGGTAGTTTACTCTTTATCTCTGCCTTTGGAAGAAGAGAAATCTCTCTGTTATACTCCTCTGACACTCCCTGTGTCATCTACAAATACCTACAGAGGAAAACTTTTTGCACAGCATCAAGCACTCACTGGACACAAGCAAATGAGTGTATTTAATCAGAGGTAAGCCATGGGAAGTGGCTTAAACTTGCTGTTTAACTTTTAATCTTGCTGTTTAAAAATTCTTCTAAGCTGGGTGTGGATTCATAAATTACGTGAGGTGGAAAGAACTGGATAGATATTTCTCACATCCTGATAAAATATTCCAGAAGTCATTCCATCTGCCCAGGAAATCTCAGGTATCTAGTCTTTAACATCTCAACAAACATCTTAACAAAACAGGATCCATTTTTTAGGTGTTTTCAGAAAAAAAAAAAGTATTGAGCAGAAAACTACCAGGCAAAGAAATGCTGTCAGAAATGCTCTTTTTATGCCACATGATCATAGTATTTTCTCATAATCTTGGCTGCTGAGGACAAATGCTTCTTTAATATGATGCGCTCTAAACCCAATTTCCTTTTCCCAACCCTCCCTAATCATCAAATCCAAAAGGATTTAGGCTCTGAGTGGAAAGATGAAGAGCTCTTCAATTTTCTCTTTGAAGCTGTCCCATTTTGAAAAGAATAATTATATATTCTTTTGACAGAGAGACCAAGGGCACCAAATTGCATATTGCTCTCTAGACTGCTAGTTAGCTCATTGACCTGGATGTGGGGAGAGCTCAGTATGGTACCACCCATGTCATTTTACATTCTTTTCATGCAAAATGATTGTTGTGATGGTTTTTTTTTTCTCTTATTATTTTGATTTAGGAACTAGGTTCCATTCCCACCTCTGCAGTATGAAGTTTCTCAGTTCTGCCTCAGGAAAATAAGGAAAATGGTGCAGGCATCTGTCATAACACTGGAGTATATTTTGGTTTCTAATAAAGGATACAAAAACACACAGAACAGCAGCCAGTAAGTCTATCCTTAAAAATCTATCCTTAAAAATCTATCAATAAAAATATCTACCTTTAAAATAAGTTGTTTTTTTTTTTTTTTAAATTTCCATATATTTTCCAGTGCTGAAAGCTATATCTGGGATGAGAACATGTTTGGAATTTCTTTTTTTTTTTTCCCCTGAAGCTTTAGCTCTGTGAACATTAGCAACTTGTTCAGTAAAGCAGTAGACTTAAATCTGTGTATGAAGAATTAAACACCTAAAAAGTTTGCATGCAAATAGTGGTTTCCAGTTTACTCCAGATGGAAAGGAAGCAGAAAAGCAATTTCCCTAGTCCAGTGAATCAAAGTGCAGACTTCAAATATTTTCTCCTACTGCATTTCATGTCCTTCTTGCTGAGCAGTGGTAGGTCTGGAAATTATATAAAAAAGAAAAACAGTAAGCTACTTGATTTTGCCTCAATCTTTTCCTAATTAAGGGGTGCTTCTTAGATCAGACTTACTAAATAGAACAAAATAGTATTTCTTTAATAATAATATTAAATTAATTCCCTATGTTGTAACACAGGAAGTGACAACAGGAATAAAAGTAGCAAAATTAAACCTGGGAGCCTTAATCACAGTTTCTATATGATAAGGGCTGCTTGAACTCCATCTATAATTTTAAAGGAAAATTTAAGTTAGACTGGTAAGTCAATTACTTAACCATTCATAATGACAGGGACCCCTCAAAAATAGCTGACATAAATGGTCAAAAGCACAGTGAAGTATCATCCTTTAAAAAGTTGTATTTGAAGAAGATATAATAATACATCTGGAAGTAAGTCTGTAAAATCTTAAATTTTCACAATAGGATGAGGAATGTTCCAGAATGTTCCTGTCCCCAAGGAGGTGCTGGATGCCAGGACTGCCCCCTTCCCAACCCCTGGAAACAGGTGGAACAAAAGTATGATAGCCCACATCCATACCTCAGCCATTTTATTTCCACTCAGCTGTGATTGATCTAATGTAAATGTGTACCTGGAGTGCCAAGAATTCGATTTTTTTTTTTTTTCTGTGTTGGGGATTTTGTTTGCTTGTTTGTTTAATTTTCAACAGATCGTTTCAGGCAACTCAGTAAGGTTTAATGATGTTATTACAAGGTATATTGCATTTCCCCCCTAGATTATATTAATTATCTATCTTTAACTTCCAGCACAGTCTCTCTTTTCTTTCTTTGTTGACAGCCAGAAAAAAAACAAAACAATAATAAATCAAACAGAACCTCTCTCAAAAACTGGATGGCTGTGAGCTCCGAGGGCATCATTTAGCCTCATCTTCAGGGGGCTGAGAATGAGAATGCTTTCTTGCATTCTTCTTTTTTTTATCTTTAATATAGCATAAACCACAACAAATATATTGCTCTCATAGTCAAATCCTTCTCCTTTTGTGATATTTATGTTCCTGAAAAAAACACTGTTTAAGTATCAATTAATGTTGTCTGTGAGACTAGGAAGAGAAGAGAATGTTTGCTCTCTTGCAGTCTTCCTATCTTTTTATTTTTTATTTTTTTTATATAGGAAAAGTGCCACACACATGAGGTTGAGTTTGATTTTTTGGGGTTTTTTTGCTTGTTTTGCTCACATTTTCAACCAACAACTAGGGCAGTGTAAGAATACTCTGTTCCAATGAATTTTCAGTTGTCTGAAGTTCTGCATAATAAAAACACGAATCTGTCTTTTCAAGACTGCATTTCTGTCTTTATCTTAATAGAAAACCTAAACATTTATATCACTTAACATCTTGTGTTGTTTTGCTTTGGGATGAAATTATCAGAAATGTCTGTTTTACACTGACACTTAGCCATGTCCAAAGTCTCACATTTCCAAAATAGATTTTGCAGCTTTTTTAAAAGTAAAGCCAGTGAAGTTTCCCTTTTTATGATGTCAAATAATTTTATTGCAGGCTGCTCTTGCTTAAAAAATACATAAAGAAAGAAATGGAATCTTCCTTTTTCTCTCCTTCAGATCACTGCAGCTTGGGCCACTGCCTTTAATTGAATTAGGCTCTGATGCATATAAAACACAGCTCAGCTTTGCAACCTGAATGTTTGGATCCAGGACTTCTAAAACTTAAGGTTGGTTTGGTTACATTCCCTTTCTCACACAGTGGCAAGGCTTTGTTATACAATACATTGCTCCCCAGGCTAAGTGCAAATCAAAGATGAGTTACCCAAAATAAGCTTCTAAGTTGAGCATCAGATGAACTTTAATCTTTGAAGTACTTGTATTTGAAAGCATTCTCTTTTCTTAGATGTTTGACTTAACTGTTTTTTCCATATTGCATGATATAGATCAGTGTTTCAGTATATATTCACCTATTTGTCTAAGTTTCTCTTCTGCAGGAATGGGAAACATTAGCTCAATCCTGCTTGCAATTTTTGATACCTTCTGCTTGCCTAAAGTGGTTACCATCCAGAGGACACTTTAATCAGTGCTGACACAGTGAACAAGAAAGCTTTAGCACAGCGTATTTCATCTTGACTCAGCAAGATTTCCAGCAGTGGCATTTATACAGTTTTTTGACAGGATGCTTCCTAAGTGAAGCCTTTGCCTTCTGGAGAGCTACACCCACAGAGATTTCATTTTTCTTAATGTCTGTCAATATCATGAACTTTATTAACAAATTCAAATTCAAAAACAATTTCAGGTCAAGAAATCTGTCCAAATCGTTCTTGATTATATCTTACATATGAGGATATCTACAAAAACACAGATGCTCAACAATGGATTGCAATGGCTGTGTATATTTGTTTATATATATATATATATGTATCCATTTCTTAGAGACAAAATAAAATGAAAGAGCTCTTTAAGAAGAATTTGAGCTATGATTGTAGGGATCAGTGCAAAGGATTGACTCACAGTTTCAGAATTTGTCATAGCACAATATTATAATAAAGTCCTACTGGCTGTCTTTTACATTGCTGCAAACAGAATAGAATAAACAACTTTCTACCCTTCATAGACATCTAATGCTGATTTTTTGCAATCAAATTGCAATAACTAAATGTATATCAAAGATGCTTATTTTGGCCCCTACACCTTTGTATAGGTTTTAATTCACAAGCCCAAACGGCATAAAACTCGAGACTAGAACATGGAACAGTGGCAGGACATGATCAGCTTTCTCCAGGTAAGACATACAAATATTTAACAGCTTTGCAAAATTGCAATTGCAATTTATCAGCCTAGGAAGACTATCTATTTATCCACCCTTTACCCTGAGGAATGATATTACTTTAAACAAGAATGAAAAAAACACCCCTTCTATGAGCAGGTAATATTTTGGAAGCAAAAAAAACCAGAGTTGTGTTCTTGATTGTGGGTATAACACATAAAGAAGGGGCTGAATTTAATTCTTGAATGCAAAACTCCATTCTACACTAAGGAACAAGTCTAGTTTTGTAGTACCCTAACATGTCTTTCTACCCTTTTGTTTACATTTGCTGATAGGAGCTGTAAGAAAAAATCCCATGGCAACTTCCCAGAATTTTAACTATTATTTACACACACACACACACACACACACATATCTCCCCCACAACTATATAGAGGCTACAATGCAGGAATCTTTAAAAATTGTATTTATCTGTGTATTTTCATTTCACCTAATTTTGCAACAACACTAATGATAAATTACTACACCTTGTTCCAGTAATTTAAGAATATGTTCAAATGTTTTAGTATTTCTAAATTTTGGAAGAAACTGATTTTGAAGAATTTTAATAGACAAGCTGCTTAGAAAACTATTGCTACATATGTAAATCAGGAATTTAAAAAAAAAAAGATTCACAGACCTGTTGTCTTTTATAAGACCCTGTCTTCTCTGCTTGAACTCTAATTTACTCCAAAGACAGTTATTCTCACAGGCAGCTTGTTCTATTATGCTCATAAATGGCAAATTGAAACATTAAATATTGCTTCAAATAACTAATTGAAGGATAGAACGTTCTTATCCCTACAGCTGTGCACAGATTAACTCCTCCAGAGCTCAGCATGCCCCAGTAGGAACATTACAGAACAACAGGACCGAGAGCCTCCTCTGTGCTTTTTCTCTGAGGCAAGTTTAAGTACACTTATATCATCCCTTATAGGTTTGTGTTTTTGTTTTTTTTTTTTTTTTTGCACTGTCCTTGAAAACCTACAATGAAGGAGATTCCAAAACCCTCCTCATCTCAGTTTTATGGGCATCAATCTTTCCCTTTAACATCCAACCTAAACATTTTATGGTTACTTCCAGTTCACTGTTGGGTCCAACACGTGGACGAGAGTCCTTCAGTATTTGCATCACCTGTGCTCAGAGGAAGAGGCACAAAAACTCAGTGAGGTCTGGAGGCATCCACAGACCTGTCCCTGCCCCCAGAACATGATGGAATATGTGGGAGTGAAATGTAAACTTTAAAGAATTTAGAGATTTTAGAGGAGCTAGGATTTTAGTTAGAAATGAGTCTTACTAGAGTTAATTAAAATAAATGAGTAGGCCTTGATGAAGTTAAGGGTTAGTAGTTAACTAATAATTGATTGCTCATCAGCACAATGTTTAGTTAGCTGGGTTTATAATGAAGAATATAGAAACTGATAAATAGCTTTTAGGAACATAAGACAATTGTGGGCCTCCTCTGTTCTGAAACCAACTGAAGACAAGGAATGGGAGTTCTACCAAGAGTTCATTTGTCATATTGGCATTGAAAAGGTGGAAAGGTCAGAAGGAGGAAGATTTCATTTACTTCCTCATTTTGGGACCCCTCCCCATGACAGGGACACCGACCCATTTCAAGGAACAAACCACACATGCTGAATGGCTTTTGAAGTGATCAGCATACAAAGTGGGGAATGGGATGTACCAAAATGTTGAAATGTATTTGTATTTTGAGTATTCAATACTTGTATGGATAAAAGGGCTCTGTAATCACCTGGAAGCTGTGGTGTGGATTTGGGAGCGATCCCACACACAATAAACATACACTTTCTAACTTTAAACTGTTAGAGAGTTTTTGTCCATCACAGTTGGATATTGGTACTAGATCAATATCCATATTTTTAAATAAATCAGGAGGTGCTGAACAAGGCCATTCCAAAGGGAGGTGGCCAGCTGCCCACTAAAACAAAAAATGGGACAAATGGAGCCTCTGCAGTGCCCAGCTTGCCCTTCTCTTGGGAGAGCAGCTGTGTACTGGGTTTTCATGTGTCCCAAGGCTTGTGCCAGCAAATGTTAGGGCACCAAAACTCACAGGGAGCAAGGGAAATCAGCAAAAGCTACAGCTTCATCTCCAGAGCTCAGGCTGTAGTAATTCAATTCTCCCTTTTCCTTGTCAGTTCTGCATCCTACCATGACTCCCTCTTGGACTCTCCCAGTGAACTCAGAAAGATTTTTGTGTATATATGGACCAATGCCAATGATATTTAGCATTTCATAAAAATAAAAAGGATTAATAAATGTGTATGTATATCATACTTAATAGGAAGAGTTCAGTTTTGGAAATGAATGACAGGACATGATATGGTTAATAACATTTTCAGAAAAAAAATGGCATGCAAAATGTGACAAGAGTTCCATTAAATAGAAACACTTTGGCTGCCCATGAAGTAGAAAGTAAAACCATTTCCTTTTCCTCCCAAATACCAAAAAACAACCATAAGTTACAATATGTGTCTGTATTAAAAACTTAGATTTCAGAATGGCAAGGACTTTCTTGCTTTAAAAGCAGAAACAAGAATCTAACAACCTCCTTTAAATGAAATATATGTCACAAATTCCATTGCTTTCCTTTGTAAAATAAATGAAGCCTGTAGGCAACAAAAAGGTCTGCTACCTAGAGCAGGAGGAACATTTCACTGTTGTATCTGCTCAAATCAATAGCTATTGAAGTTGTTTGGGGGATTTTTGAATTAGGTTTTGTATAACACATTTTTAAAAGGAGCTCATGAAAGAATTTTTCGTTATACAAACGTGCTGGATGTGCACATTAAAGTGTTTAATGAGCATATAATTTTGTTTGGAATATTAAATTAACAATGGCAGGGCCCAGTCCACTAGTTGTACAAAGAACTGGTGGAATTTGATCAGGAGTGTTGAATTCCCTGTGTACATTTGTGTCCACAGCAAGATGGCTTTCATATAGGTGATTTATACTCTTATCTAATAGAAACTGCCATTACAGAGAACAAAAAACCCAGAACCAAAAATAAGAAACAAACAAAAATAAGAAACCCAAATTCTATTATGACATAGCAGTGACCTCTCACACATTTATCCCATGACAGCGTTGGTGGGGACCACAGAATTCCTATGGCATGATCCAAATCCCATTGCAATCAATGAAACATTTTCTCTTGTTTTACTTAAGATTGAATTATCAGTAGGAATTGGTTTGAATTTAGCTAGGCATTGGCTGACAACAGGATGTGCTCTCATTTGCTTTCATTAATTGATGTATTAAGGTACAGTAGGGGAAAAAAATCACAGCACAAAAAAAAAAAAAGAAAAAATTTTACTAGATTTTTACATTTAGTAAATGGTACTTAAACTCCATGGACATGAAAGCAGTTTTAAACTTTACCTTTGAAATTTTACTTTTTTCAATATTTCATAGAAAAGAAACGCTCTAAGATACTGTTTCAGACCACAGAATTATTACAGAACATAAAGATTATATGCAAGGGCATAATCCTTTTCCCAACGAAGATGGTGGCCAACACCATTTTAACTCCAGTGGAACAGGGGTCAGCTGAGATTGTGCCATGTTCCTAATTGGAAATCTCCTTTGTGATAAAGGAGTCTGGCATACGCTTTGCCTTTGTAATTTGAATTCTATCAACAACTATTCCTAGCCACAAGAGAAATATTTTTAGGCAATATATTTGTATAGTTTCACAAAACTATGTTAAAGAGAGATGTGTGGGTGTTTGTGTGTGTGTGTATGTATTTATGTATGTATACATATTTATGAGTTTGGGATGATTTTCTTAAAATACTTAACTTCACTTACATTATATCTTACATTGCAAAATGTACAGACACCCAGTGTTCTTTTTAACAACATATACAGGTGAATTTATAGAGCCTTATAAAAGATTTTGTGATTCCAAATTAAAAACCATAGAAACATAATCAAAATAATGGAGAGTGGTTTATACCTCTGATAGTACATAGCGCTCATTCGGGTCATATTGACAGCTGCATCTTTGGCATTGAAAATTCCTTACAACTTTTTAGACAAAATGTTGTTGCTTACAGCTTTTTTTTTTTTTTTTTTTAAACAAGAAAAACAGGATCGACCAAAATACGAATTTTGGGGAAGTACTATTAAGGGTTTATTTTATTTTTGTTTTTAGCAAGGATAGCTTAGGAACCCTGAATTATCTTCTCGCTTTAGTGTATGGTGTAGACTGTATGAATCCATTTAAAAATCAACTAAGTTGTACCACGTTTTTCGGAAAATTATATATAATATAATATATATATATTTTATATTTATTTAGAAGCTTTGAAATAGTACAGTAAACACTTTGCAACACGGTGTATAAACTACAGAAATGTCTTTGATAATTTTGTGGGTCTTCAGATTAACAACATTTTTATGACCCACAGGTGAAAAGAACATGATCACAATCTCTCTTGTAAAGTTGGAATAGTTTGGGGAACACTTGATCACACAAAAATAATATAAAACAGTCAAGTTTAAAACAGTGATATTGCATTTATAATGCACATCTCTTTTATCCGTACGATTGGCTTTTTGTGGTGAATATAAACATCTAAAGGGCTCAGTGACATTTTGGAGAGAGAAAGATATATAGTGCTGTAAACAGGCACACACTGATCAGAGAGGCAAGAGCAGTTGCCTCTGAAGTTTCTACAGTTCTACACATTTCAACTCATTTCTCAGGCCTGCTGAGAGCAATTAGGTCCTATTGTTGGCCAGGATGTCTCCAACAGCACACAAATCCTTCAGTTACACAGAACTGGATGGCCAAGATAATGAAGTTGAAAGCTGATGCTTTTTGTTGGTCGACTTTCTTTTGTGCAAATCATGCTGCTTCAGGTAAGTCCTGTAGAAGTGACTAGCATATCCTTTTCCGTGCTGCAGGAGAGAAAGAAAGACACTTCTGAGAGGAACAAAAATTTAAAAAAAAAAAAATCAGTCTCCAACAGTTCTTAGGTTTAGGATTTCTTAGGGTGTAGAGAAACAATCAAAACTTATCACAAGCTGACGCTGGAAATTCTCATTACAGCAAACAGTTTAATGTTGATTCACTTTTCAGAGAAAGCCTCTTTTTGAGGCTTCATAGCCTGAATGCCAAATTTCATAGGCTGTTTTAGTATTCTGTCTAACATGTCATGGCAAATATTCCAATGTGCCTGTACAGAATCAGCATAAGGATAAGGCAAATATTCAGACTTACTGGTGAAGTATTACTGAAATTTCACAGGCTAATTTTTCCCTAGTTCGGCTTGTTTTTTGAAGTAAGATCTAGAATTTCCCCTAAAATTCAGAAGCTGATTTTCCTTTCTCTTTCAAAGTGAACCATTATCCTCATCACTAAATGACCCTTCAGTCTGGTTTGACAGATGAAAAAAAAAAATGGTGCATTAGTGCTACAATTCAAATTTCAGCATTTACTGTCAGGCTGAAAATTAACTCCTGTTACACAGATGAAGAAGGTCAATGCATTAGCAAAGCCATATCCTAATCCACCAGCTGCAGGAGCTGTATTACCTCAAGACTCTGGCTAATTTAACTGTAATTGGGAGCAAAAGTAACAAATTATTTGTACCAGCATTCAGGAAGACCCCAGGTTAAATTCTGATCCCAATCACACATTAAAACAATGAACTTACTCACTTGTTCAAGTATTATAATTAGCATCAGTATCATTCTTATCTGGTAAAAATTATCATGATAAAATCAGGCGTTACCTTAGCTCCAAATCAACTAAATCCCTACCTGCACATCAGTCTGCTTCCCTGCATGAAGCTTTACAATTGAAACAAAAAGGAATCTTAACTTCTGAATGAATCTTTGAATCGTGTGCAGGTTGATGCTTGCATAAACACATCCAGTCTCCATTCCATTTAACATAAATATATACATCAGCCATACTTATTTCCTAGATATATATTCACTAGTAAAGGTATGAAATCTGGGTGCTGTATCACAAGGAAGTTTGATTACTGACAGGAAAATGTTACTGTGGGTGTTGGAGGTTTGTCTAATCTAGCCTGCCTATGCTACAGGGTGCACACAGAAAAATGTGAAAAACATTTCTCTATAAGCTATCTGTTCAACATAGAGAGAATTGCCAGATGTGTTGTTAAAAATAAAACATCTAATAGATGAAGTTTGCAATGTTTCTGCAGTAGATTAGTAGCAGATTTAGAAAGAATTTTTTAAAAGCTTCTGCAAGATGTTTTTTAAACAATGTTTTTAAGAATAATGAGATCAGAACCTTCATGATGTTTTGATGCAGTGCATGATCAGATTAATCTTTTAAAGTATGTTTTTTTTAACATTACAGGAAACAATAATTCCAATAATGGTAGTAAAAATAACAAGACTTATACTGGTTCTTTAAAACTTTTTTTTCCCAAAGTTCATTAATAATTTCAGATAACGCAGGAACTGAGTTACAGGCTGTGTCTGGCCTTGTGCCATGTACACTGGCGGATTTGGAAATTTTTAATCTCCAGTTAACATGCTCATATTACAAAACAATCAAGCCCTTTTGCAGCAATAACTAAATATTATGCATTAAAGTTGCAGAACTACTGCAACTCTCCCAACCTACAAAAATTGTTGTACCAAATCTTAAAATATCCTCTGCCAACACTAAAAAGCATTGGATTTTAAAAGCAACTTTTGTGCTCCATGTTTGTTTGGCTTTTTTTCTGGTTCTGCACAGAAATTTATGTGCAAGCAGATCTCTCCATGTCTGTCCCAGTTTCCGTCTTTTTACAGATGGGGAATATAAATCAGAGAGGTTAAATGGAAAGGAGGATGGACTCAACTTAAAAAATAGAGCAATGAAAGTTCTGACATCTGTTTCCAGTTCTCTGTGTGTGCATGCATGTGTGTTCATAAATAAACTTTTAAATAACAAACACTAAGCCTCTCTGTATCACAATTTCTCCATCTGTAAAATGGGAATAATATTGCTTACCTATCTCCTAGAGGTGCAGGAAGGTTTAAATCACTATTCTTTATAATCCACTTTGAGATCCAGAGATGGCAAGTGCTATAGAAATGGAAGTATCACAGTCAGTGTAAGAGCTGGAACAAGAACACCATAATTTCTGGTGCCTAATATCTCCTCTGAGATCACAGCTCTCTCTTTCATCCCTATTTTATCATCTGTTCCAAACTCTCAGGCTAATACACAGGGAACCTTCAAGTCTGTGTGAGTATGGGTAGTCAGAAAAAAAGCTTTGATCACAAGCAGTTCTATAATTCTGATAATGTAATTAGACTAATGGAACATATATTCTAATATTATTTGAGGTGAACAAGATGAATAAAGATTCACAAGCATCACAGTTAAAATTCTTAGGGTATAAGATTTGTGCTGTATCGATCCTTCCTGGAACAACAAAAATTTTGAGCATTACAGTAAGAGTACTTAATGCATACAATTTATATGGAATAAAATAAATAAAATAAAACAAAATAAAGTAATAAAATAAGAACTGGCAAAAATATGTTAGGATTCATTTTTGGTCAATACACCCTAATAAGCCTCCCATCCACAGTGAGGTAGTTCTGTGTAGACTGATAAAAAAAGACATGTAAAGACACCAGTGGTAGTTGAACAGAAAAAGAAATTAAAAACACTAACACAAGAAACAGGAAAGAGAAAGTAAAGTATGCAGCAATTATTCCTAGTTCATGGATCAGAAATGAACAGAAAATACTGTAAGGCCCTTATCTCTTTAATAAATCTTCCTTTCACCCAGTTGCAAATCATCCTATTGCATCCAAACTTGATGCTGGATTTCTACTTTATAACTGTGAGTACAGACAGGAGCATTTCCTCTTATGGAAAAGCCCAGAAGGGATTGCCTGTGCTTGGAACACCTTCAAACTCCCTGAATCAAATTTTGCTCCTGCTTAGCAGTGGTAGCTAATCTAAAGGGGACAGAGAAAGGGCTCAGTGCTTCTCTCCACAGCTGGCAGCCCAAGCAGAGAAAGAAAACCCACACTATAAACCCATCCTATACCTTTCATAAGCATTGTCACTTTCCCTCTGGACTATATTTAAGAGCTCCATAAGCTCTTGCAGCATTACTTCTGCTCTTAACAGAGCAACTGCTGAGTCCCCCTAGAAGTGCCAACAGCCTAAAGATCCAAAGGAACTGCTAGACGATAAAATTTCCAAAGAATATAAAATACCAGGCCTGCTGTTGCTGTTACAGATACACTCCTGATCCCACTTCACTTAAGGAGAAAGATGACCTAAACCCCTTTCTTTTAAATCAAAAAACCCCTGCCAGAGCAGAACAGGGGTAAAGCCACTCTGTATACTCTTATCTCGTTTCAGAGCTTCACTCCTTTAGTTCAGACAGCATCCAAGCAATATTTGCCTTCACACAGGCTTTGCCATTGGGCTTTTGTGCAAGCACTCAACTCTGTCTGCTCAAACTGTGTGCCTCACCACGCCACCCAGACCAAGCCTGCAAATGATGCAGGAACACAGGATGCTGCAACTCAACTCCCTGCAGCTCATCCAGAAACAGCCCAGCTATTCCAGCTTCACCTGCAGTGAGCAATAATTTAAAATGGAGTTAATTACCTCATCTGCGTTATGGCAGGGTTGGTTTTAAATCTGCATTGTTAATTTTAACTGTCCTTTATGATTTAATGGTTTGCCTCACAGTCTGTATGTTAACTGTGATATGGCTCTTCACTAAGTCCCATCAGGTTCACCAGAGACAGAAAATTATAATTCTGGTGGCCAACCAACCAACCAGACTGCGAGTTCAGCACTCCTGCTCTAAGCTCGTAGAGAACAAGACCTAAGAAGTGGTGGAATGTATTCTGTCAGAAATAACCTGGCTGTCCAGTCAGCTTGGAGCTCAGGTATCAGCAATTATGATTTTTGGGAAGAGGTCAACAAGGGAATGGGAATGCAGAGTAAACTACCATAGCTCCCTCACCCTTCGTAGTGCTGCATCCAGGTAAGGGGTGAGACACACGGCTGGGGCTGGGGCTGGGGGATGGAGGATGGGCATTACTCTGCTGCCACCCATGTTCTGTGGATAAAAAAGCATTCCAGTCACTGCAAGTGTCAATTCAGTATATTTTGCAATCCATAAAGTCTTTTTTTTTCTTTTAAAAGTGATCTATTACTTAAAGAAGTTCGCTAAAGCATTGCTAATAATATTTTATAAATATTCCATTAATGGCATTATAAAAAAAGAGTGTCTTATCCAGGCCAATAAACTTTGGTACACAAATATAAAAATAGTATTTTACTAATATATCTTTTCCTCCAAGGGGAACTTTTTCCCTTTTCTTTCAATGCTTTAGTGCAGAGATTTTATTCTTCAAATCTATTTATTCTGCAGAGAACTCTTGGATAAAACACCTTACATTCCAGATGCCCATGTTTAATTTTACAGAATTAATGTGGGCTTTTAACTCTGCATTATATCAAATAGTTTAGGGGAAAAAAAAAAAAGAGGAAGATGGAACATACTTACTCTTGCACTTGAAAATATAGATAAATAATTAAATAAGATCAAATCTCCCCTAATGCCAGTGAGTCTGCTGGCTTTGGTGATCACTGTTTGTGTACTTTAGGAGTCACTAAAGGTGATAGGTGACAATGAGACCAGGTTCTGCCTGTGGAATTCTGGCATGTGACAAGGCAGGCAAGGCAGGAGAAGCCCCAGGGTAGAATTTTCCCCCAATAACAATATGGCACTCAGTATGGCTGAAATGTTCCTTCTGGCCTCTGCAAAATCCAAGCTATAAATATTGTTTCTGGAATAAATTCCAACTGATGGGTACAATTACCCAGATTTCATGTGAAACAAGAAAGCCAATTGTGAGCACTGGGTCTTCAGGCTGTGAATAAATTAGAGTAG